AAAAAAAAAAAGTAATGCAATAAAGGTCGAAATCAAGATTGTGTTGGAGCAAATTTTCCAAATACAAATTCAATATTATGTATCTTCCACATGGAGCCTTTTCATATTTAAGATGATATGGCATAATAAGATTGGCCTTCTATTGTCACATATTCTCACCACACTGCAGGTTCTAACTAAATCAGGAGCTAAAATATTCAGTCTAGATAAAGTACTACTTTCCAGAGTATCTTAACTTAAGGTAACTTATATAATTAACAGTCTTATTCCTCAGTCTCTTTCATTTTCAACCCACAGTTTAAAGTTTTTATTTCTAACTTAATTCTCTTACAAGTTACAACTAATTTGGTACTAATAAGAAAATTCTAGCTCTCCAAGTACTTTGCATGCCAATATAACATGACAGCAGCATAAAAACACTAATAAAAATGCAATTTGGAAGCTTCATCTTAAATTGAAACTGAAGAAAAACCATTCAAACGAGACTAATTATATCCCATTTCAAAATACTATTTGGAATCCCTAATTCGCTGCTAACAAACATAGGCAGATCGATTTGAATCTCGGATAAACAAGCTTACCAAGGGAAAGCAGCGAACGTCGAGGTTCTTTGGCGGCGGAGTAAGCTCGATAACTTTGTAGCCAGGGGTAATTGTTTTGACTTCCTCTCTCTCTTTCTCCTTCTTCCTACAGAATACTCGAGGCATTCTGAAAATTGAAAGGAAACAAAAACAAAAACGAGCCAATAAATCGAAATTTTCGACAAGATGACACAGCTGATGCAGCAAGCCTGTGATGGGAAATTGTATTGCCAGAAGTTCTATTACTGAATTTTTCTTCATCTGATGAAAAGATTCAAAAACTGTTGCCAGAAAAACTAACTGTAATAATATAAGGGGAAATGCTATAGTCCAAACACAAGTCCTAAGCCCAACATGAAAGAAAAAGCCCAACATAAAAAAGCCCAACATAAAAATACGATCAAACTAGAAGACTGAGTCATTTCAATTCCCAAGCCACGTGGCGTACTACAGCAATTCCTTATGAAACGTATCCTACATCATAGCACACGTGTACATGTAAAAGAAGAAAAGATAACAACGCAAGCGAAAATCCACTTTATCCTTTCACAAGTTCGTGTTTTGCATCACAAGGAAAGAGGGATCAAAAAATTGAATAACCAAAAAAAAAAAGAAGGGGGAAATGGACGTGGAGCGCCAAAAGGGAAGCCCGAAAGAAGGCCCACAACCGGAAAAGAGCCCGACAAAAGACCTGAGAAGTAAAGTTGAAGATGAAGATGGCGGCAGCAACACAAAAGGCTATGACAACATAGGAAATGACGTTTATAACCCCAACAGAGGTAATGAACCAAACACGAATGACAAAGTTAAAGGGCTTCCTCACCAGCAAGTCCCCCAACCAAGTGACTTCAGCTCGCGAGCTCTAGAGGAAATCTAATCTAATATGGCAAAAGAACAATTTCAAGGCAATTTTACAGTTGTTCTAATGTTGTTATGTTTCCATGTTAATGAAGCTGTAGGGCTAAACTTGTACTGCTGGTTAAAAGTTTAGCCTAATTGTCTTTTATCATGACTAGTTGACCGGTTTTCACAGAGGAGCTCTTCATGGCATCCAATCTGCGTAAAACAATTGAAGAACAAACGTATTCATGATTTTTTCCCGTTGTATACTTGGGGAGTAGCATTGTACCACTTTACCTCAACTAGTTGCCCATTGTTCAATACCAAAATTCTGTCGGCAGCTTTTATTGTAGACGGCCTGCAGAATTTCAGGTTAAAACGTGCGAGCCGATCAATATTTGTTTAGGTATGTTAAAAAGAAGCTATTCGAATAACTAACCTTTTTGCTATTATGATGACGGTCCTCTGTCTTTGTGGGTCTTTTTTCATGGAATGAAGAATCTCCTATAGAAAGAGATACATGCATTGGGTTAAAGGGACAATAACATAAATAGATAATGATTTGGACACAATTAGGCTTTCTTTCCTAGAAGAAAACATGAGTGCAAGAACATAACTTTCTCATGTTGGAAGTCAGGTGAGTGTCAAAAGGGTATCTTATGTTGTTATTCCTAACTAAGATTTCAATGCAGTTAAGGTTTCTTTCTTACGAGAAAGCAAAGAAAAAGGATCGAAAAATCTGGGGAAAAAAAAAAAGAGATGTACCGCAATGTGGCCTTCACTCTCAGCATCAAGGGCACTGGTAGCTTCATTGAGTGCAAGAATAATGGGGTTTCTTACGAGAGCCCTTGCGATTGCAATACGCTGCTTTTGCCCGCCACTTAGCAGCTTATCATCAACAATGGTATCATAACCACTAGGAAAGGCAGAGATAAATTCGTGCGCGTTTGCATTTTTTGCAGCAAGTTCAATCTCCTCTTGTCCAATGTTTGATTTGCAACCATAGCTTATGTTGGACTTTATGTCCACATGGAAAAGCTGTGGCTCCTGATCATTATGACATCAATCTATTATTATCAGTTTTTTTTTTTTTTTTCAAAAATTCAATTCAGCCATTAGACTTCTCTCAAGTCTTACCTGTCCAACATATCCAATATTTTCCCTCAGCCACCCCGTGTCCAGCTCTCTGAGGGGAATGTTATCGATAAAAATCTGGAGATTACGATTAGAGGTTTATTAAATTGAAGCCCGGATTGGAAAAAGGTTGTATTAACTCTTCGATAGTATTGAGCACAATGGAAACTTCGGCATGAAGCAAATTGGAATTCAAGGTCAAGAGATCTTTACATAATCTAAACACCATCTAATAAGCACCAATCCTGTATAAAATCAAGCTCTAATTAGTGTGTGTTAACGGTACTATTACAAGAAGCATGATATCTTGTGAGAGAGAACTAAAATTAAACAATGTAATAATTTGCAGTTCAAGAGAGAGTTGCATTAGAAATTTATAACATGACAAAGTTCAATGCTCACCTCACCAGAAACTGGCTCATAGAGACGAAGCAAGAGACTGATAATTGTGCTTTTCCCGCTACCACTGACACCAACCTTTTTATCCAGAGAGTTGTACTTAAATTTATCATACTTAATTATACAGTGGAGAGTATAGGTTATATATGGCTTACTATTGCAACCACTTCATTAGCTTGTATGGAGAAATTCACGTTTTCCAAAATAGGAACCTGCTCATTGCCATCAAGCTATTAAAAATAATATTAAAGAATTCTTTAATATAGCTCCAAATTTAATCCTTCACAACAGCTAGTTATAGCGGTATGAGCAGCTATTGAAAGTTACCTTCATCCTCGAAGAGTATTGAAACGATACATCACAAAGTCAACACGTCCTGTGAGCTCCTGCAATTTCACTCCTACATATGAGAAAATGTGGGTTCTTCTTTAATACTTATCATGATGTAAAAGATTAAAAAAAAAATAGATAAACATCAGATGACCTCCAAGAAAGTTGATTACATTCACAGTCTAAGATAGAATCATAACATACCATTTTTATTGTTTCCTTTTGAGTCTAGGATAGAATCATAACATACCATTCACAGTCTAGGATAGAATCATGATGTGAATAGCGCTTGGAAATTGACGAATAAAGCTTAAGGTGAAAAATGGGTCTCCTACCTTTCGACTGAAACTCGCTGCTCGGTGGAAGATGAATCAACTGAAAAACTTTTTCAGAGGCTCCAACAGATTGAAGTAAGGAAGCCATGCTATCTTGTAACCTCCAGGCAGCATAAATCAGCCACTCACAATACATAACATACTTGGTCAGTTGCTCAGCAGAAACAGATCCCGTCAAAACAGACACTCCTCCAAATAGGACAGCAAGAACCTTCAACAAATGAAACAACAGCTCATTAAGATATTATATTATTGTTTGACATTTTTTATTTTTTCATTTTTTCAATATCTTGTTGCAGAAAGATCAGTTGGAAGTGTTATAACTGGACCGAGGAATATTCGAACATTGTTTGAGTTCATTTGTTTATTATTCGTGTAAAAGTTCG